AATGCAATGGTATACAATCTGCTTTAAAAAATAAACACATCACCATTATTTGAAATGTTTTGTAAGTGGTGCGTTTTTAATGACCGTCAGTAATATAAATAGATACTGCTGGAACTGATATCTGATATCACGCTAAGTACTAATAAAGCTAACTCCAAATTTCGTGAGACTAAGAGTTCGGAAACCAAAGGATGATTTTAACAAATTTGATAAAACAAAAATCTTAACCTAACCGTTACCAAAACCTCTAAAAAATAGAGCACTGCTCTGGTTTTTTGTGTAGGCTGGGGTTAACCTAAAGAAAATGTTGGTATTGATTCATCTAAAATTCATGATTATTAGGTCCTCCTCGGTAGTCGGATACCACTCGGTTTTCAACTCTTACCTATATATCGACTTGATTTGGCCTCGTGCGGCGTACCGATCTACCACAGGTATCCCCCTTGTCTCTTCTCTTGATAATTATAAACTACTATTGAAATAATATTGGAAACCCATCAAATAATTATTGCAAAACTAAAAGGGCCCTAAACACAAACTGTCATCACATCATCATCCTCAACGTATTGTTGGTTCTCACATTGTTGTCCTGGCTTTCTGGCGTGTTCTCACGATCATCTGAGTCATATGATATCTCCCAGTCGTCTTCATCTGAACAATCGGAAGAAGAGGAAGTCCAGTCAATGAGTGACCAGGTTGGTCTGTGGACTATGGCGGTTTTGTGAATGGTGTCCTCCGAGAATTTCTCTGAGACTGTGATATTGACAAAGACTGAGCTGGCTATGTCCGGGACGGATTCATCCTCGTCTGAAGAAATGAGGGGGATGACCTGAAAGATGCGCTCTCCTTCTGCTCCCTGATTGTCGAACCATTTGTCGAGACCTAGAAGGAAATCATTTTGAGATTTAAAGAAAACCCCAATAAATTAGGGCAGACTTTGCTGCCACTACCCACAAAAGGCTGAAACAACGCATGCACTCAGAGAGAAAAACAGGCCAGAGACAGGGACTGACTAATAGGGAGGAGGGGAGACAGGCAGCGAACAGCAGTTAACAGGGGAGAGACAAAATGAGAGAGAGAGAGAGAGAGAGAGAGAGAGAGAGAGAGAGAGAGAGAGAGAGAAAGAGAGAGAGAGAGAGAGGAGGGAGGCAGACAGACTGACAGAAAAACATTTAAACTTACCTACGTAGCGTCAAAGGAAATGGTGGCAGTAAAGGTGTGAGGGGGAAGGGAACATATTATGATAAGACCATTTTAAAAGTTTGTACAGAAACAATGAATAGGCGGGAAACTGAAAACAGATAAATAAGAACAAACCTTCCCACTGGCGTTTGGTCTTTACCAGAATGCGGTCATCACCTAAGTAACCTGATGCCGACGACGAATCTAGGTCATCTCGACCACCATGAACCAAAAACCATTCATGTAGATTTTTCCACATACGAGTGGATTTGCATATTTTTGGCGGTGTTCTCTCGACCTCATCGCAGGCACAGGACACGAGACTGCAGGCTCCACCAGTACGCGAACGTGGGTCCGTTGAGAGATCTGAGACTTCTGAGTGGCGAGGTGAAGCTGAACAGGAAAGAAATAGAAGAATACACAATGGCGTCATTTTAGTAATATTGCTTATTTTGAATCCTCATTTTCATTTCAGCACCGAATGGTTGTCAGCTCTATAGCCAGGATGGGTCATCTAATAATGTATAACACCGCCAACAATTACATGACGAGGCATTTGGCTACCTTAAGAGAGTCATAGTTACTCCCGCCGTAGACCAACAATTAGAAGCCCCCTACCCCTCCCTCCTCTTTTACTTTAAAAAACCCCTTTAACTAATGATAGTCTGATCTCTCTACACAAGTAGTTAGAAAAGGGAAAGGGGTGTATATACATCCCTCTCCAACCCCCCCGCCCTCCCCCACATTATTATGTATCCTCTTGGTGTTAAAATAGCAAGTATTTGCACACATTTCCACAGTCAATGATTGATGCGAATAAAGTCGCTAACATTGTACAATAAAAAGGACACACCACAAAATTGAAATACAAAAAATAAAAGATTATTGTGTAAGTCTTCGTGAAGCTTTTGGATGGAGGAATTAACACATTTAGAATGAGGGAAAATATAGAATGGATGGGATGAAATATATACGTTCTACCAGCGATGTAATGAAAGATGCATATGTCGCCAATGTCTTTCCACGACAAACTGACATACACACACTAACACACTTACACACACACACATACACACACACACACTGACACACACATCACCCCCACACACACACACTGACACACTTAAAGCTCGGGAAGGTCCCCAAATAAAGCTGCTCATCAAATAAAAACATCTAGATTGTTTTGCAACACAACTTTGTCTAGCTGCGGGTTTGTTTTTGTTTTGTTTTGTTTTTGGGGGAGGGCCTAAATCATTTGCAATAAATAGGTAAATAGTTGGTATCCGTGGGAAAAAGGGAAGAATTGGGCTTTTTTGTTGTTGTCGCTGAATTTTCACCTAACACAACACGACATAACGGGAACAGTGTCGTTGAATTTTAACCTAACACAACACGACATAACGGGAACAGTGTCGTTGAATTTTAACCTAACACAACACGACATAACGGGAACAGTGTCGTTGAATTATAACCTAACACAACACGACATAACGGGAACAGTGTCGTTGAATTTTCACCTACACAACACGACATAACGGGAACAGTGTCGTTGAATTTTCACCTACACAACACGACATAACGGGAACAGTGTCGTTGAATTTTCACCTACACAACACGACATAACGGGAACAGTTTAATGAAGTTACTGAGTAAAAGAAAAAAAATTGATCCATTTTTGTTATAAGTTGTACTGGAGGAAAACTGTACAGATTTGCCACCAGAATCTAGTGTAACTATTAGGAGCTTCACCATCGTAAGTAGAAGACATAATATGAGTTCGATTCTCGAGGAGAGGATTTTTACCGAGTATCGCAGACTTTCCTCTTGAACGTTGTATGATCCCTCTCAGCACGGCTTAGCCCTGACAGCCAGGGTTGAAGCCCGCCCCCTCCTACATGGTCTTAAAGGTGTCGATGGGGAAGTAACGACGTTTATCTTTTAAAAAAAAGAAAATATTATTTCTCCGAGGCCCACCTTGTTCCATACTTTCAGACTGCGGCGTTGACACGGTGTAACTTCCTCGTGATTTGTGACGTAGACGTTGACGACAGTAAGTGCCCACTGTTTCTCTAAGACCTGAAAAAAATTCTTCATTTTAAAAAAGCAAAAATAAGTTATTGTTTTCCATTCTGATTTCTTTTTGTCAGTTTAAGGAAAACCGAGGTTTTCAAGAATATGTCCTTTTCCTTTTTATTTCTTTTCGTCGGTTTGAGTAAAAACGACGAGCTTAAAAAAAAAAAAACAGACAGCAGGAAGAATGGGATACCATGATCGCAAATGTCTGCTCCTGGCCTGGCACCTGAAGAAGAAGAAAGTACATATAGCGAGAGACGCAATCTTATTTCACTGTCAGTCCACTTAAGTGGCTACCACCAGATCAGTCAGACAAATTGTTCCGCTTGAGGGTATAGTAGTCTACTACAGTCAAGAACCTTGACAAGAGATTAAGGTGTTCGCAGTTAGCCTATCCTTCGATAGGTCCCGGGTTCGAATCCGGATAGGGACATACATTTTTTCTTCCCTAAAAAATTGTCTCCTTTCACCCCCTCTCTTCTCCTTCTCTATACGATGTTCTGTCGTCTGCTTTCGTCTCCACTTTCTGCCCCTACCCCTCACCTGCTCAGCCTCCTCCTCTGGGCTTCTGACTTTTTCCGCAGCCTTTCTGTTGCTACTTCTTGGCTCCTTCTTACTGCTGTCTTTCAGCCACACCCTAGATCTTATGATAAGAAAGATCTACACCTAGCGTTCTCGGACACGGACGAAAAATTTCAGTCCCGTATGCAAGTTGCGCACGTTAAAGCTCCCATGGTGGTCCGAAATCGATAAGAGTAGGCAAAATTAAAAAATTCCTAACAACTGAAAATGTTTAATATGTCATGAGCGCTCATATGACCTTATGCAGTTGCGGGCGCCGTAAAACACTTACCCTCACCCCCCCCCCCTAAAAAAGGAAGAACCCTGACCCGAACGATAAACCTTTTAGGCGATGCCTAAAGGAGGTTCGGTTCTGTTCGGTTCGGTTCGGTTACGTTTCTGGCGGCTTCAATGCACACTAGTATTTGGTCGCTTTTAAGCACAAGAGGGCTATCAAGAAAAATGCTGTTGTGAGAAAATCGAAGTTCAATTTTTTGCGCCTTGTTCAGTTTCTTTAAAAGACAAGGAGAGTTTTCTCTGTAACCAAACAAATATACGCACCGATGAAACCAAATTTCTCCTATAGGTAGGACAATGCCCACTCTTGGTGTAGGTCAAGATTTCTGGAAACCCCTGAAATCTGGGTTAGCCCTCTTGTCCCTACAAGCGACCATTTATAGACCGCTACCTCAAACCGATCGCCTGACTCGCGGCCTCGTCGATTTCGTTCGGTTTGTGCCATATGGTAGCTTATCCCCATCCATGGAGGAAAATCTGGCTAGCTCCAATGACCAAACCAAACTGATTTTGCCAATGTACACCAGGTGTATCAAAATAAATCTGTAGTTCTGCCTTTACCGAATTGACACAACACAGGATGACTTGGCAAATCAGCCAATCGGGTAGACCGTCAAGTGGACTAGCAACCTTATTTCTGATGGATGTCGCGCAGAACTCAACTCAATCAGAGCACAACCATTCCTGATCATGGTGGTATTTTTTCTAGTGTCGGGCTCGCATTGGAAAGGTCATGCGTCCAAACCCCGGAGGAAACAAACGTTGTATCCTTGGCATATACACTTGACACGAATTTTCCTCACTTCATGCAGGTGGCTATGGGTTCTCATCTATTAACTGAGAAAGATCGCAGGACGTTTTTTAGCATTTGAGCGCTTAAATGGCTATTTGCAATGTATGCCTCCCAGGAAACCGAGAATGTCTCTGACTCTGAGAGTTCTCGGGTCTGCTGAGAGGATAATAACAGTTATAAAGTGCATAGAGCGCACTGTAGAGCAGGGGGTTTTAACATTATGATTATAATTATAATAATTACAATTATTATTATACTACAATCATCATTAATTATTTCCCCAGTAAGTCATACTAAACCAAGATGAGAGAAGAGGATTTTAAGGCCTTAGAATGTATTGGCCGTTATCTGCAGGCACATTTCTTTTCTTTTCTTTCTTTTTTTCCATTCATTTGGCGGGAGGGGGATATCGACAGTGCTGGGGGACACCTTGAAATCTTGATTTAACTGGATTTTGGGCGGTAGTTTAATTTGATTAGGATCAGATTGGAGTAGTTGTTAAATTGTTAAGACGTGTATAGAGGTATTCGGCGGGCGCTGTGGAGTGGTTTGCTCCTTCAGTTGTACCAAACATCTATTGTTCTTATGTCCCCTCTTCCTTTTACTGCGTATATTTACTATGTATTAATTATTCTCTAGTCCACCTTTAATCTACGGCACCAAAACGGTTTCATTGTGTTGCAAGTGCCGTAAAACACTTTAAAAACTAAACTTCAAAAAGTATGTAGAAGAACAAAACCACACACGAGCGCCTACTATTCTCCCGCCCAACTCAGGTGGCTATTTAAGCTGATAAAGCGCTTTTCCAGTGCACTTCGGTACGTGTTTAAGAGTTTGTGAAGGTTTGCCATCAAGGACCTCGGAACTCTATTTGTAACCTCCTTGTTTGCCCTAGAGTAAAGAGAGTTCATCCGGACTAGTTCGGATCAGGCAAATCTGTATGTAAGACACTTTGAAGTTAGAGCAATCGGAGTGGGGGGGTTAGAAGAAATCGTGTGTGGCGGGGGAGGGGATAGATACAGAGAGCCAGACATCAGAACCTGATTAGAGAGCAGGGAAAGAGGGTGAAAGGGAATTTGTTTTGAGAAGAAAATTTTACTTCTCCGTCACGTTTCGAACCCGGAACCTATTGAATGAAAGGCGAACACCCTACCTCTAGACCACGAGGGCCGCACCCCCCTCCCCGAGAAAATGAGTGCATGGGATAGATAGATAGATAGATAGATAGATAGATAGATAGATAGATAGATAGATAGATAGATAGATAGATAGATAGATAGATAGACTATGTGGGGGTGTCCTTTTCCCTTACGTGTCGTGCATTAAAAACACCCACACAAAATAACATAAATCTACCTTTTTCTGATCTAGGTCTACGAAGAGAAAACAAGACAAAGCTGATAAACCGATAATTGTAATTAAAAAGTTTTTCGCCTCCATTGACAATATTTATCAGATCTTTTAGGAAGCGGGCCGGTTCGATCCTATCTGTCATGACCAAACCAGGTTGAGAGGTCAACAATATCCCAGCATGATAAAGATCATCATCCTTTCCCACCACGTGCTAGAGAATAGGTAAAAAAATAAGAGCTCTCCAGCAAGATTTACTCTATCTCTGGGTTAAGTCTCCACCTCTGTCTAGCTCCATAATCCCACTGGTAGAAAGATACCCGATAAAAATGTTCCCATCACGATAATCGAACGTGTCTGCTGTGTGGGACTGCGAAGCGCCGGACCGTCACACTACCAAAGATTCTCTACTATACATTACACGTATACTCGACCTTTGACACTACTATCCAGTGTTCTTTATACAGCAAAATGTGGGTGGTTGGCGGACGCTCTTTTTACTCCTTCCTTCCCTCCTTCCTTCTATCAATTATCCTTCGTCATAATCTCTCCATTTATGTTTCTTTATATGTTACCCTCCAAAAACACCTCTAATCTCCGGTACTTATTTAACCTGCTTGTTTTGTAAGTTCCGTAAAATTCTAATAAAAATAGATCCACTTTTTTAAGGGATACATAAATCAGCAACATGTAGTATAAAACACATGTGTCAAATCTGTTTTTACTGTCACCTGTTAAAGACAATCTCCTGTCCATACAACCACTCCCCTCTTCTCCCCCCTTGTGTCTTTTTTCTATTAAAATGACTGACCACGCTGTCTACCTGACAAAATTATCATAAAAATTTCTCCTCAACTATTAGTGGCCGTCTTGGACAATTTTGACAATGCATTTTGTATTATCGTCTCGTTCAAGGTCCACCCGTACTCCCTACCCACCCCGAGGACGGTAATTTGACGTAAACGTACACTTTGACACTGTGCAGATTAGCTAACAAAACATAATGCTCCTTTGTCTACAAAACACGTTCATGTTGTATGCGCTAACATTTAGCCATAGCAAGGGGGGGGGGGA